GATTGCGATCCAGATCCGTGTGAAACAAACAGGTCCTCAGGCAGACACACGTCCAAGCCCTGCTCTGTTCACTCTGTTTTTTTTGTTTTGTTCTCCCGATTAAATAACCACTTGAAGTGAATGAATAGTCAGAATGTAACTTCAGAGAAAAAGAGGCCCACAATTTACTGATGAACCATTACGGAAATGACTGCAAACACTCAAGCATTGAATAAAATGAATACTTTGAGCTCTTTCAAGACCTTGAGGTTGGCCACAGAGGGTTTGCATGGCTGCCATCTTGCAGGCCAGTGCTCTTGTTCCACAGGGCATGCACAAAGGAGGTTCCCCTATGGAACAAAAGACCTGCCCTGCAAGATGGCTACTGCGCAAAGCCTATGCTGGTAAGTGATTACGGATGAGTTATTTGATGCAATTTTTCTTTCCATGTGTTCCATGAACAGTCAAGCAGAACTTGGTCTCACCTTCATACGGGTCGCAATAGGATCCGCCAGGGCAGATGTCGCATGACCCTTGACCCAACTGTCCCTGGTAGGTGCCGTTGTCACAGAGTAATGGCTCCCAGGATCCCATGGGGCAGGAGTAGCCTCTGGGACACTGCAGGTCAGGGGGTGCATCAACGGTCTGTCCCCCAGGGCAGTAGTAGCCCTCGGCGCACTTGTCATCCGGCTCAGTGTTCCCTTCACCTAGAATGAGGTCAACATTACAGGAATTTGTCTAAATGAGGAATGTGCACCAAAGGTATTATCCAAATAGAGTATTAAGTTATCAAACACTTGTTTAGTTCTGATTTGGAGTACTAAGAGATATTTTAGTTATCACAGACGTAGAATTTTCTTAGAAGGGCAAGAAGTTTGCAGGTTTCAATTGTTGAGACATGAAATTACTCAAACATTTTACACGTTTTAAAAACCTGAAATCAGGCTTTTACTTGAAATGAAAATTGGCATCACTGACTACAATATTGTTGGTGATATCTTCAGATGTTCTCCAGCAATTGAGGCCAATCCCCCATTTTGATATGATATTTCCTCAAACGTGACAGCCATTCATACCTTCACAGTAGTGCCCCGCGGTGCAGTTCTCACAGTTGTGTGGCCCTGTGTTCATCTGGGTGCGGCTGAAGGTACCCTCCGGGCAAGGGGTGGGCACAGCTGTCCCCTCCTGGCAGTAGTGACCGGCGGGGCAGACGTACTGGTCAGGCACGGCACTGGTGTGGTTGCACCAGAAGCCAGCTGTGCAGTTGCCTAGAGACAAAACGACGGATTGAACCACAAAATTAAATTTAACAACTGGTTTTGGTACAACTTTCTTGTTGAAAATGGTAATATCCTATAGTAAACTTAAAGATGCTTAGCGATACAGTGGATTTCATTACAGAAACTCATTGATGCAGTCCCAACTGACTTAACATCAGCATCACCGATCTTCTGTACCCTAAATAGCCAGAGGTAACTAGTATCGCGCATCAAGCACAAGATTCCTACGTCAGTTTAGGTCTTTCTACAGATAAACTTTCCAGTTAACGGCCTCATTTAGGTAGGCCGGTTTCAGGTTTTGAACACAATGGATTAGATTCGCCGATCAACATTGAACTATTGCCTTGATTTCTAATCTGATCATCTCTAGACTACTGCCCACAAGAATCAGGGATCTAAATTAAGACAATGGAGGCAAAAGGACTGAAACTGCTTGGTTCCAGTCGTGACAGACGGAATATACCAATAACCCTTGCCTCAATACTATTGGCACACTTATCCCTTCAGTCATATACTGCCTGCCTGCTGTGACGGTAGGTATTTCAACCCGTCCTGTTCTCTACTAACCTGTGGGCTCCTCAAGGCCTGGTGTCTCGCAGTACATGCCTCCCCGGCAGTTGACTGGAGCTGGCGACCCCATGGGGCAGTAGTAGCCCGGACCACACAGTCCACCGGTACTCATGTCAAACGCAGGGCAGACACAGTCAAAGTGTGGGTGGCAGGTGTCGTTGGGATACACATATCTGGAATTAAAGACAAAAAAAATGTTATTTCTGGAGTAATTATCACAAGCAATCCAAAGACTCGGGAAAACACTTGGACCCACTGAGGTCAATATTGCAACGATACCCTTTTGAGTATCATGTTTTCCACTCCTCATTCTACACTTTATGTAAGGTCTGTGCGGCAACCAGTCCTTGCATCAGAAAATGGCAACAAAAATTATGCTAGCTTTTCTGAATTTTTTTACCAATTCTCAACTTCAACAGAAATAATTTTCATAACAAGAAGGCACAAACTACTGAAGACTTCGGGTTTGCTTGCTTTGCCTACCATAATTGGAGTCTATATATGACCAGGTCCCCCTATCAGTTGACAGCAGGGGTCAAACCAGACTCCAACTACAACCAAATTGAGTCCCAAATAGCTTGACTCCAGGATTCGAATCCGCCATCCTCAATCTTCACCCACATGAATTTCAATCATCACCCAACCTACTTGATGGGACTTCAATGCATCATCTTTGAACATCAAGCAGACGAATTTGCACCAAATTTTTAACAATTATCCGACAAGAACAGCATTCCCAATCACCGGTCAAAACTTTGCCCATAAGAATCTCAATTAGCCTTCAAAATTCTGCCGCAGCAAAACCTCAACAGCACTAAAATCTCGTCTAACAGTTTACCCCCAAGCATGACAAATTGGCCACTCACCCAGGAGTCGGTACAGTCACCAGCTCTCCTTCGTCGAACGGTCTCTGCTTGTCCGACCCGCCGCTGCAGTAGAAGCCCGGGTCGCACTGGCCCGAGGGATTGACCAGGCCCGTGGACTCACAGAACCAGCCCGGCGGGCAGTACTTGCAGCTGGTCAGGTTACCCTGGCCTGTGGACGAGGACAGGGGAAAGTGTCAATCTCAACGGGTTTCCGACAGGAAACACATGAGAAATTTTCTTCTTCAAGGAACCCCGGGAAGAACTGAACTTGCAATGTTTTATTTATTACACAATATAAGAAGGGGGCGTTGACTGCTTCTCGAAAGTGGGGGGAGTGCATGGGTTTGCAAAAGGCCAGCACAGCTAAGGCCATCCACTGTGACAGAAAGTTAATGTGCAGAAAATCGGACACGATAGCCCCCCAAATTCTCTCCATAGTGCACGTTTTATGATAAAACCTGTAAGGTTTTAAGCCTACAGAAAGACCTGTCACAGGAAGTCCTCAGCATTCTGTGGCACTTGGGACCATAAAAGGTGTTGTGATTGTAAAAAGCAAAATCAATCTACATATCTCGCTTTGTTATTAATGTCCCACTCTCGAACCCGGCATCAACTACTACCCAACAGTGTGGAAGGATTCCTATGCAAAGTTCACATCCAAATCTTGTCCAAATTGCAACTTGTAACTTCTGAACAAAAGCCTCTTTGACCACAACGGTATTTCTATCTTTGTAAACCCCTCATGGGGGGGCGTGGCACACCACATGTATGCCAGTGTGCTGGAGCCTCAGTGCCGGGATTTTTTGCTCGATCAGTCTATGCTATCTAATCACAACTTACCTGTAGCATTGTTGTAAGTGCCCAACGGACACGGGTACTGGTCACTGTACTCGGTGCCGGCCGGGCAGTAGTGACCGGCTGGACAGTCTGACGGAACCACTGTGATGTTCCCACAATATTTGCCTGAATGGAAGAGATGACAAAAACAGCTTCAGTAAACCAGAGAATTCTTAAGAGGAGCTTCATCTGTCTGGTAAGAAGGGCAGATGACTGCCCAAAAGGAGGTCCGCGGTTCAAGTCAAGCCTGTCAATGACGCCAGTCCGGTGATAAGTAGTTAAAATCCAGCAGATCTTGAATGGTTCAAACCAACATGTTGTGACTAGAGTAGACATGGGTTCGAATCCAGCTTGTCAGTGATGCCAATCTGGTGGTCCTTCATTCAAATCCAACCGATGTGGAGTGCCATGTCCAACTGTCCCAAGTTTGAATCCAACCTTTCAAGACTGCAAAACCAGTTGTCCATGGACCAAATCTCGTTTACCTGGCTATGGTTCAGCCTGTGAACTGCCCACAACAGCAGTCCCAAGTTTGAATCCAGCTTTTGAGCCAGTCGTAACTGAACTAGATCTAGCTTTTCAGGAATGCTAATCCTGTTATGCTTGACTCAAATCCAGCTCATCTGGACTTCCAACCCAACAGTCTGTGGTTCAAACCCTATCAAGCACGGTAACTCGCCTACCTTCAGGGCAGATGTCGCATTCGGCCATCTGGTCCTGTCCAGTGTACGTGCCGGCGTAACAGGGGATCTCGGCCGGGGAGCCCTGAGGGCACCGGTAACCGGCCCGACAGATACCACCCACACCTGTGTTATTTACTCCATTGGGGGTGCGTATATTCACACCTGAAACAAGACAGGCACACAAAGGATGTAGGGATCAAATTGAAGAACTTGGAAAGAGGCCATCCACAATACACAATGTGTAACATAGCCATTTTGGAGAGTACGGAGGTTCATTTCAGCCACCACAGTAGCTTTAATTCACCCCTTCAAACCTGCCTCCTTAAATGAGTAGGCAGGGCTTACTTCTGACAGACTGAACAAAAATGAGTTGTTAGGCCCACTTCGAGTCAAAGGCCTTGGAGAAAAATTTTAAAACAATGAGTTAAACTCAGCAGGAAGCCTCAACATTTTTCACCCAAGCCTAACAATGTGATAGACACAATCAATCCACCCAACAATTTCTCTATAACATCTTTGCAATGCATTTCAGGAATTTTTTTTAATGTCTTGCAATTATTTTGACCCCAATTTGGTAAGAATTGGATATACCGTTCACATGAGGTGCCCATTTTTCTAGGACAGGTCAAACAAAAATATCAACTTTCCCATTGATGCACTCAATGCACATATCCCGACAAGGGCAAGGCCGTTAACTACAAAAACCTACATTGGACTGAATCCAAATTGAGGATTTATTATGGGGGATCTGGTCACAATGAGATACGTTCAAGTTTCTCTTCTGGCCGACTCACCAGAGAGACAGAAGTACCCAGGATTGCAGTCGCCACCGACCACGCCTTGTCCGGGCGTGTCGCAGTAGCTCCCACCCGTGCAGCTCTTGCAGTCCCCTTCCTGGGTCAGCCCCAGCGAGGCGCCGTACGTCCCCTCAGGGCAGGGCCGGATGTCATGGCCCGTACCCCGGGGGCAATAGTAGCCCGCCGGGCAAGGGTCAGGCTGGTCCCCGCTCACGCACTGGTTGCCGGCCGGGCAGACCAGGCACACGGCCGCCCCTGTCTCATTCATGTAGGTGGCATTGAGGCAGGGCAGTGGCCGGTCAATGCCCTCTGGGCAGTAGTGACCCACCGGGCAGATGTCACCGGTAATTCCATCTGAAAAAGTTTTCAATGGGAAGGTAAAGTTTTATCGGCAATAGATCCAGGCAATGCTCTGTACTATAAACTTCCCTCACATTTTAGAAAGTGCATTACTTTCATTTCAAACATTTTGATTTCCCTTCGAGGGTTGAATTTGTGATAAAAATAAGCAATCTGCGAAAAGAGATGAGTTTTCCTTTTCTGTCTGCCTTTATTAGAATTCCCCCCCTCATCAGTTGAAAAAAGAAAATTGGAGAATTATGCCCTCTGTTAGTCCTGCTTGGGACCCATAGTGCAGCACAAAAGATCTCTTCCAATATGCATGCCCTAACTTTCATGACAGCATGAGACAGCCAATAAACAAACACATCAAGATGTGTCAAGCATCATCAGTCAGTTTTGAAGCAGCGAGGGGCAGTGTCTACAAAATACAAAAGAGATTACTTCTCTGCGTGGAAAAGAACTGTGGTTCTGGCATACCTTCAGGATTAGGGATGCTAGCATTGCCGGCACAGTAGTACCCTTCGTAGCACTGGCCAGTGACATTGGACTGGCCGTCATACTGGCAATAGTAGCCGCCATCACAGGCTCTGCAGTCACTCTGGTCATCTTTGCCTGTGGAACAAGTATATGACTTTTTTTATATCACATATTCAGGCACTGACAGACTCTCACTGCACTTTATACAAGCTTGCATATATTCCGCTCTTCAGTGGGTTTCCCATCACGTACTATTACATAATTTGGTATATTTACCGTGGAATATAACCCATGAAATATACCAAAGAATGACATGTGTGCAACAGGGATAGTTATGGTTTTCACATAACGAATGCAGCTAGAAACGTGAAAAATTTTTGCTTTGCGATTTTTACGCCGGAATTAGAAACGGAAACCACAACCTGTACACAAGAAGACTTATTCAGGCATTGCATAAAACGAATTAATGTTCCACATTCTGTATGCGTAATGGTAAGACTAATTTCATTCGGTGAAATACTGAAGACTTATTCTGTCGCTTCAGTCCATTGGTGGGGGCCACCACAGATGAACAGTGACAGCATAAGCTCGGTCACCAGATTCTTTCGTACTGGCTAACTTCACGTACTTAGGTCAAGAAAACATACAGGGTTTCAAGTGGGCAGGGTTGATAAAACAGCTTAGAAAAGTACCTATATCAGGGTTGTAGGTTCCGACGGGGCAGGGCACCGGTGCAGGGGTACCAGCCGGGCAGTAGTGTCCCTCGGGGCATTTATAGCCGTAAGACTCGCCATCCGGGTTGCCCGAGGAGGCACCCAGCACGCAGTAGAACCCGGCAAAGCAGGGCTGGTCGGGGGCAGTCAGGCCAGTGTCAGGACAGAACCAGCCAGGGTCGCAGAGTGGGCACTCGCCAGCCGTCCGCAGGCCGGTGTCATTGCCATAGGTACCGATGGGGCAGTCTTCACCTATAGATCAACAGTGCATTGAGATGCATACACTAAACGTGATGCAGAACTTCAGTCTAACCAATGAGAATGTTTTTTTAATCAGTAAAAGTTTGGCCTGGCATGAGTCTGCCTAATATAAAGCTGCATTATGCAAGTTTTCATTGCAAATGCAAAAAAGCTCAACTACTGTAAATGTTTCGGGATGTCAAATAACAATAATATGGGCATTTCAAAATAGTGCGCCACCAAGAGTTTGCAATGTGTTGGCCAAGCACCATGAGCAAAACACACGCACTGCCGGTCGACACGTCCAGACGTATCAACCCATTCAAACACGCATTGTGTACAATGGCCACCGCGCTGCAAACTATTGGCAGCACACTATTTGGAATCGCTCATATTGGCAATTAAAGACGCTGCACTTAGAATACTAAAGTAGAATGTTTACAAACGCTCAACAATTGATTAAAATAAGTGATATCCACAAATACTGCCATCGATTACTTAAGGAGTTGAAACAGACAGGCCTTGGTCATCTTCTTGAGTTGAGCATTCTCAGTAAGTAAGAGCCTGCCTTACGGCCAGCGACCGCTTGCAGCAAAAATTACGGCCAATTTCAACCGGTGACCATTGAGTTAATCACAGGTCGATTTTACCCGGTACTCAATATGTATACAGTGAGAGTGGGTTACCAAGGAAAATCAACCAGCAGTTGACAAACTGGTCCCTAATCAAACTTGGACTAAAACCTCATATGATTTAGCGTGGGATCAGTGCACATCACTGGTAGGCTCTTTTGCTATAGAAAAAAGCACCAAGAGGAGCTTTTTTGCTTAAATTAAGTTTCAGGAAATTTGACGTTTATTTGTGACTTGTATACCTTTTGAATCGATCTTAAAACGCAATTCTCAAGTTCTGTAAACGACTGCACTTGCGGACCAACAGACAACGAGGGAGGGCAGCACAGGCATTGGATACCGTCTTCCAGATTTATAACCTTACCCGTTATCGATCCCTCGACACAGAACTTCCCCATCGGGCACACGTCGCCGGTGATCCCATCCGTCGGATCCGGTTCCCTAGCTCCTCGCTTGCAGTAGTAACCCGCCTGGCACTTGGCCCTCGGCGCGGTCAGGCCTGCCGTGTCGCAGTACCAACCAAAGTCACACTGCTCACATTGGTCTATGACAGGGAGACGAAAATTACTTCAAAAGTTCAGTTTCAATCAAACCTGGAAGATGACAGTAGGCACTAAAACTCATGCAAGCAAGTTCTTATACGAAACTCTGGCTAATAATGTTCACATCATAAGTACACTTCATGAAGTACACGAAACATAACATATAAGGAAATAAAGCAATGGTTGAATTGCTTTCTTCTGAATTTATTAATCAAGGTCTTCTTAAATAAGTTTTTTGCGAGTTAAATTTGAAGAAAAATCTGGTACACTGAGTTCTTTAAATTCATGTAAACATAACAACTGGAATTCTCCATACTAAAGCCACTGCTGCTATACCTTGTGATTCAGGGCAAGCTTTTGCTTAGTTACATAAGAGACGCCTTGCAACAATACACTGTTTCAATGGATAAGAAGGGCACTAAAAGCTTTCCCAAATCACGAGGTATAGCAAAAGTGTCTTTAGTCTGGGAAATTCAAATTGTTACGTTTATGTGCAATCAGATAACTCCGTGTACCAGATTTTATTCAAATTTAACTCGCAAAAGGCTTATTCAACACCTGAAAACTTTTACAAAAATATTCTAACAGTAAATTTTAAGTCGATTTCAGAATTCAGGGTGCTAGTATTTAGACAGAGGAGGCTTTCTGAGTCACAAGTGAAGTAATCTCAATACGACTTCACTGAGGTCCTATCATTACTGAAGAAACGCAAAATTTGACACTACGGCGCAGAAGTGTTTTCAAACGTTCTGTGTTGGACTTGAAACCACAATATCTGATTTGGTCCCAAAGTCGCACTACCCACCACTCTGAAATGCTGTAAAGTAAGAACAATATGAGGACTGAGCTTCTTACCTTGTCTGGCCAGAGCTGTCATGTTGGAGTAAGTCCCGATGGGGCACTTGTTCTGCTCCGCGTACTTGGTCCCGTTCGGACAGTAGTGACCAGGGATGCAATCCGGGGGTGCAATGACTCCGGTGACATTGGAGAGCTCGTAGGGGTCACAATAGGTGCCCTCGGGGCAGACGTCACACGATCCCCGACCTTCTTGGGGTTGGTACGTGCCTACGAGAACAAGTGCAACAATAACGGTACACAGAACTCTCCGGAAACTGGGCTACACTTCATGAATATTCATGGCTGTTCATCTGCACATGTTCATTTGCACCTATCGGTCCTCTAAAGGTCACCAAAATCCAGTGCAGCTAGAGGAGGTGAACAACATGATTGATTAGTCTCCACTTCAGGCTAAAGACAAAACTACCTTGAGCTGTTTATAAACTATGGCCGCATGAATCTTGCACTTGGATTTCTAGTACAAAGAGAAAAGTATCACCACCAGGATAATAAACTTCTCAAACCTGGGAGTTTAGCAGTCGAACAAGTCCCCATATAACAGAACATCCCAAGAAACCACAACTCGTTTCCAGTGGTCTCAATACTCACCTCGCGGGCAGAGTTCGGGGAGAGGGGATCCCGACGGGCAGCTGAAGCCCTGCCAGCAGACATATTCCTGGGGTTCCCGGGTAGTCTGGCCCCCGGGGCAGTAGTAGCCCTCGGCGCAGGGGCCCGAAGGCTGGGGCAGGTGCTCCCCGGCACAGTAAGATCCTGGAAGAAAAGAAGAGGTTGAGAGGAGAGTCCAAGATAAGACATACAAGGAGACAGGTGATGATGATAAAAAAATCATCATGGTCACAGCAGAGATTAGGGACAACTCCTAAGTTAAACTCTTAAAAATATTGGCTTTCGAGGGCTACATCTTCACATTCCTAAACATTTTCAACCTTGGCTTACACGTAAACACATTCATCATGACTGTCTTTGTCAATTTTTACCAACAGGTTATGCCCCTATACCAACGTATTTTCATAACACTATATGGTGGGACTTGCACCAGTGACCTCCTGGTTATTAGTGCAGATGTCTTAGAACCAGTCAGCCATCCAGATTGCTGGGATCTGCAATCAAACACGCAGGAGATCGTGGGTTCAAGTCCCTTCCCCCACCCACGTAAGCTAGTGATTTTTGTGAGCTTGAATATCCAATATTATGAATATACCTCTGTGTGCTGAGGCAGAACTCAAACTAAATTAACATTTCCCGAGTCCAATCTTTGGAAATAGTAGGCCTTTTGAAGTTTTAACTGCGATCTCATCAGGAGGTTCACAGTCACCTGTGCACTGACCACGTCATTAACAAAGGCTGTCCTGATTGGCTTAGATGTCTTGGATTTGATGGAAAAGAGGACAGTACGTCCAATTTTACAAAACTACTGTCAAAATGACTGCAACAAAAAGTCCTTAATGCAGAGCTTGACACAAAAGCAATAATTCACGGCTACAATATTGAGGAAATGTACGAGGGGTTGATTTGCCCATACACTTTTTTTCTGATGGGGGAAGTAATTATGGAAATTTGAAAAACAGAAAATACATAATCGGAAAAACTACATTGGGCAAAATATACATACATCAACAGATCCTGCTGGATCTGACCGGTCATTACCTGGCGTGCACGGCAGACAGTTACTGAGCTCTGTGTTCTTGGTGGTGTTGGAGTAGGTTCCATTGGGGCATGCCTCCGGGTATCCGCTGCCCTGCTCGCAGTAGTAACCGACCGGGCATTCCATGCCGGGGGGCTCAGGACTGTCGTTGCCCCCCGGGCAGAAGTAACCTGCGTTACATTGGGCTGGAAAGAGCAAACAGGGAAAGTGTCAAGTACAGGTGCGGAGGGGTATTATATTGGTGCGGGCACTGCCGAGGGCGGTATGCAGGCTATGTGTAAAAGTTGAAAGCCACGAGAGGGGTTTTCCATACCCCTACCCGTGGTACGAAATTACCTGAGCTACACTAGGCTGGAAAGAATGGACGGACAAAGAGTAAGGCTAAAGTAAAACTCGACTGGACTGGTGCGGAGACCGTTGAGGTCAGGATGCAGACTGGTCATCGATGGTCACAAAAACAACAAAGATAACCTATAAAACTTTGTCGGAAGAATAATGATCACTACTAAAATTACTGACAAGTTACTAGATTGTCTCCCAATCACTGGCACCAGACAATGGGCTTCTATAATCACATATTAAACTTCCGGCAACAGCCATGATATTCAGATGCAACCGACTGGAGATACGTACCTTTGGGCGTTGCAAGTTCGCAATCGTCGCAGTACCAGCCCGCAGTGCAGTCGATGGGTGCAGCAGAGCCAGACGGGCAGTAGGTCCCCGGGTAGCACTTGTTGCCCGTGTAGTTGACAGCAGGACAAGTGCAGTCAGAGATCACTGTGGCATTACCTATGATGAGAAAGCATCAGGTACACGATAAAAAAATCCAACAGTGGCGGGGAAGAAATTAGTGAACCATTGTCACTGTTTGGAAGGCTTTTCCAAAAGTTTGTCTAAAGCTTAAATTCTGGTCAGTTTCTTTGAGATCTTCTGAGATTCTCGAGACATGTCCACTGGTTCAAAAAGCCTAGTCTCAGGTCCTTTTGCAAACAACACGATGAACCATTCTCAGAGTTTATTCAAATGACTGATAACTTTCAGCTAAAGACTGGATGTCCTGTAATGGACATGTAGGGATTTTTGGTGCAATCCACAATAGCCCTACATGATAAACTATGGAAGTGTTGAATATTTCAAATTTGTTTATCAGCTTTTGGGTATGAAAACACTCAATCGATACTCACCAAGAGGCAGAGGCTTGGACGTCACAGCCCCTCCGGTGCAGTACCACCCTTCGCTGCAGTTGCCAGTGGGACGGTCCAGCCCCTCGCCCTCGCAGTACATACCCGGAGGGCAGAGTTCGCAGGAGGAACTATTCTGCTGGAGGGGGAGGGAATTGTAGGTGCCCTCGGGGCAGGGGTGCTGGGTCTCGTAGCCGGTGCCTGGTGGGCAGTAGTAGCCCGGCGAGCATCGGTAGACGGTCGGGTCGCTGGTGTTAGCCGGGCAATAGTAACCAGCTGTGCATGTGGTGCAGGAGCTCTGACCTATGGGATGGTGAATAGTAACTATTTCACTTCTCCTGTCTTTGAGTTGCTGTTCTTCTTGGCATAATTTACACTATTTTGTTTAGGGAGCGTTTCATAAGTGTTGAAGGCGGTATTTACTGCGGTACTGCTGTTTTTTTAGCGGCACCGCACTAGTTACCCGAAAGGGCTTTATGCTGGTACCGCAAAAATACAGCGGTACCACAGTAAATACCGCCTTCTGTAATTATGAAACGTTCCCTTATATAGGTATCTTTGCCACTGCAGATGGGGTTGTTGGCAACTTGATTTCCTTAACATGTTGACTGCTGACTGTGTGTACACTCGTAGGGAATCACAGGCTACTGTAATGTAAATTGACTACACTGGCATCACCGACGAGCACAACAAATACCCAGCTGGCAATGGTGAGGACATATGTCTGTAAAACGCTCATGTTCAAAGAGACGCCGGAAAAGTACCCATTAAATATGCGCATATGCATACAACGCTTGGCAAGTGGGAACGCCCTGTGAAATTATGTGCAGCAGTCAACGTGTTATTGGATTATTTTAATGTCTTCATCCATACATAATGCGTCAATGTTCCAAAAGGTTTGTTTCTGAGCAAGCTGTAAGGTTCTACCATTCATGTTCAGTACAAAGGATCTGCATGATCAGTGATTGGGTGGAAAGCAAAGCCATGATTTCCAACTGTAGGGTTTTCTACAAAGTTTCTCCAGAATGCTCTCTGGAATTCTCTTCCCACGTCTAAAACTGACAATGACTTGATTAAACTTCTTTTGGGTTTCTTTGTGTTTATAAGGTTTGTGCCGTTGTACTCTTTAAAAAGTATCCATTCTTTTTGACAAGAGGATCATTTCCGCTCAAACAAAGAATAAAGCCGAATAAAGCTTCCTGAGATTGGGATTAGAGCCCCAGAGACATGTGCACACAAGTTTATGAAAACAGAACCTCTTTGGGGAGTTTTTCTGTATCAAAAAATGATCGATAACACCAAACAAGACACAAGATACCACCCCATGCACCGGTAACAGCACAGGCCACAAACGATTCTCTCAAAGCTACCTGGCGATGCAGTGAACGTCCCGGCATCGCACTCCCGTGGGGTGACGGTCCCCCTTGGGCAGAAGCTGCCGGCTGGGCACACTCCACCCACGCCCTTGTGACCATCACTCTCCGTAGGGGTGGCTGTGTCTGAGCCCAGCTCGCAGTAGTGACCGGGGTCACACTGTCCGTCCTCGTCCGCTTGACCAGGGGTAGCACAGAAGTAACCACCTGTGATAGGGACAACGGATTGGTAATTAAGTAATGAAGTTCTTCTAATTGTTATTTTTATGCTTATCATCATAACTAGTAAGATTGCATTTAACCCTCAAAGTTCTGGTATGACTTCAAATATTTTTGCTCGTTGAGCAGTTCAAAAAGGAAAGTTTGCTACGAAAGGAAAGTTTTTCGTGTATCTCCATCTCATGGAGAGGAAAGTAAATCTGGACACGAAAATGTCATTCAAATTGAGAAATCTACCTCAGCTCCTTGGAAGATGTTATAAAAATAAATCCTTCAGGAATTACGAAAAATGAAATCAAATGAGAACAGTGAAATAATATACAAAGGACTTGTCACTAAAAATTGTTAATATCTGGCTCATTTTTCATGAAAGCCTTGGAAATGATGATGTTAAATACTGTACCAACAACCACTACTTGTAAAAATTTGTATGTCTCAAAACGCTTGTAAATAAAGGTTTGTCATTCATGGAGTTATTGACCAGGGGCCAATTTTATAGAGCTGCTTAAGCACAAAATTTGCTTAAGCGCGAGAAAACCTTGCTTGGTAAATCAGGTAACCTGCCAAATCTCCATGTGGTGTATATTGTTTTGGGGTCGTATTTAGCTGTCTTTTGGTTAGCATGACAATCACACAGAGTTTGAGCTGGTAACCTTTGTTTTTTTAAGCAAAGTTTCTCACGCTTAAGCAGATTTTGTGCCAAAGCAGCTCTATGAAATGGGCCCCAGATTAAGTTGTACTCGCTAATACCTGTGCATGGGGTGCATTCATCCTCTCGATGTAAACCTGTGCGGTTCCCGAAGAACCCTGTCGGGCACAACCTGGTGTCGTAACCTGTCCCCGTGGGGCAGTAGTACCCCTGGGGGCAGGGGTCAGCCGTGTCGCCGTGTATGCACTGGTGGCCGGCAGGGCAGATGTCGCACTCCTCCGCCCCAGTCCGATTGTAGAAGGTGCCGTTGGTGCAGGGGGTGGGGTGTGGGGAACCAGACTCACAGTAGTGGCCCACCCAGCATCTACCGCCTATGAGATGTCAAGTCAAAATTTAGTCTGGCACCTTGCATTTTTCAAAACCTTTTATCCATAGGATGTGGGTCAAAAGTGCTGCTCCCTTTTTCCAACACAGCTTCCAAAGCGAGCCAATTAACACAAACATCAGCTAGTCCTCAAGAAGATCAGCTTGACTCCAGCTGGAGATCATGCCGTGGTCACTGAGCCCCCAAATTCTGGTCTCAGAAATGAAAGACAAATAGAGTGAACAGATTTTACCTGTGACACCGTCAGTGGGGGCGCTGTTGTTAGCCCCACTGGCACAGTAATAACCAGGATCGCATTCCCCGGTCACGTTCGTCTGCCCAGGTTGGTCACAGTAGTAGCCTGAAAGTTACAAGAAAGACTGATCCTCAGTTCAGTGGTTGTCAGACAGGAGGCGACTCAGGTAGGTGGTTTCATACTGTTGGAAATCAATGCGTCAGCCATGATCAGGCCTATCACCACTTTGTTTAAGCCCATCTATTTAGGAACTCGTGTCTAAATCCACTGGCTGAGGCTGGGCACTGCCCATGAATCTACAGGAAGTAATTGCAGCCGCTGATCGATGGCTACAGGGCTACATGCATTATATCCCCTCAGATAAACCTTCTGGATGAGACCTTAAACTCTGCACTACCAATTCCAATGGACCTTTCTCATGAAATATAGAAATTAGACTGGTGCATGCGCGCTGACACCACTGGTTGGCAAGCGCGACCGTCAACACTGTCGGCAGTGCAGGAGACCTGCTTTAACCATAGACCGTCAACACTGTCGGCCGTGCAGGAGACCTGCTTTAACCATAGACCGTCAACACTGTCGGCAGTGCAGGAGACCTGCTTTAACCACAGACCGTCAACACTGTCGGCCGTGCAGGAGACCTGCTTTAACCATAACCTGGGGGGTTGAAGGTCAATCAAAACCGTATTACAGCCCTTTTCCAATACTTTAGCACCCTTTTCTCAAAACCAAATGAAGTTGCCAGTGTCCTGAGGCGGGGGAAAAAATTCCTTGTCTTTTAAAGTTTCTTACTGACATCAAACTACACAAGTACAGAAACGGTGTGTATGTACGTTCATAGTTGCAAATGCATGGAGATCTGTATTGTTACGTCGTTGATGTAAGCCACTTTGCCAACCAGTGGTAGGTGGCATGCACCTGCCTTATTTGCATATTTCATGGGAAGGGTACATTCTGCTCTACTAAGCGGACTGGCCTAGGGCACTCTATACTAATCGCGGTGAAGTCTGCGGTGAAATCACCTGCCTTATTTGCATATTTCACGGGAAGGGTCCATTCTGCTCTGCTAAGCGGACTGGCCTAGGGCACTCTATACTAATCGCGGTGAAGTCTGATCATGTACAAGTAGGACTAGCGCCAATTCTCCAGTAGCACAGCAGATACAGAGATTGCAGTGAAAATTACCTGCAACATTTATAGTGTAATCTGCCTTGCACACAATTGCGGCCCAAGGTATAGTGTAGCTGAGTCCATCATACATGTAGGTCCCTACACATTCCAGTCATAAGTCCTTTCATAAGGCCAGTCAGAAGTAGTAGCGTGAACAATAACAAAGGAATGGTTCTTTGGAATAGCTTGTGACTTAAGACAGGATGGGTTGTGAGGGGTTTATAGGGCCTATGACATTCTGAGTCAAAATTCGTTACAATTTTACATGAAACTTTGACAGTATTTATACAAGAGTGCTGCATGGGCTCAAATCACTTTGACATATGTAATCACAACATTCCACTCTACTTGGGTGAGGAGATGACGAGAGAGGGCGCAAATCTTACCCGGTCTGCACAGGATGCAGTCACTGACGTCCCCTTGACCCACAACGTCAAGGTATGTCCCCGGCGGGCAGGCCTCTGGGTAGGCAGTGCCGTTGGGACAGTAATGCCCCGCCCAGCAGAGGTCACCGTAGGACTGGCCAACAGGTCCGGGCTCCTCTGACATTCCGGAGCAGAAGTGACCTTCAAAGCAAAAAAAGAAAAACGCAAACACATATGGGCATGTCAATTACTTCAGTTCTGGACCACCTGTTTTTTTTTTCATACTTTTAAACTTCTTACTGAGGGCATCCGAAGGAATTGTACATGATTGTCACCTTTAGACCCTCAATTATGGACTCTAATACCTTCTTTGGTTTATTTCATTCATGATTAAATGTGGACATAAAGAGATTGGAAGTTTTGGATTGGTTTGTATGTCAGTTAAAACAAAGACACAGAAAAAAATCTTAATAGGGATCCACTCTTTTTCCTGTCTATTTCTACACGACACGTAGTTTAGACTAAGAACATACCAAACAAGACTCATTTTTGAAAGAGTTTTACTCCTATCTTCTGATTTTCATTTATTGGTATCTCAGAAGGCCTATAAATTCCTTTCTAATACAAACAGCAGGCGGGGAAATTGCTGTCAAGGTTACTCCTTGGTCAGGTCACATGGGGGACAGAGCATGAATTGGCGCAGAATGACCAATCAGGAAAGTTCCTTGTCAAAGAAAGACACTCGGCAAACCCCCTTCGCGTCCCCTTCCTCACCTGCCCAGCAGTCACCGGACACCCTGGTCAGTCCCGACCGGTCGCAGTAGTAGCCCCCCGTGCAGTTCTGGCACTGCGATGCCTCCCGCAGCTCCAGCTGGTTGCTGAAGGTCCCCTTGGGGCACTTCTGGCCCACTGCGCTGCCCTCGGGACAGTATTTGCCCGCGGGACAGATGTCGCCCGTGGTGCCGTCGGTGGGCGCGGAGGAGGCAGCACCCTGGGTGCAGAAATAGCCTGCTGTGCATGGCTGGTATGGTTCCACATTGCCTGCATCAGGAAGGAATAACAAACAGACCAATCATCGATATTCTGATTTTTCCAAAAACCTTATCAGAAAACTTAAATCGTCACTGACCCGTACCAGGGCTTCATTTCTTCTGATTAATAAACTTGGACAACCCCCTACTGCACGATATTTGACAATATGCACAAAGGTCTTCTATCCCGATTCTAAAAAGGTGTCTAATCTTGCAATTGTGTGGAAAGTTTGGAGTCACACTTGTGATTCAGCTGGGAGACATAGCCCTCAATCCCCAGGGAAACTTTTTCCAGTTAAACAGCATCAATAAGTGCAAAGGTGTAAAAATTAAACATCCCGCCACTCAAGGCTTACGAGATTTCACAAGGTGTTACACTTTCAGGGGATATAGGGTAAAATGTTATCACTCGTTTAACTTTTGCTTTTTTTTTAACCTCCAGGCCAAGACATTTTTGTGTCATCAGGGGACTGTTCTATTCTCCAAAATACCACTACAGTTAGGAAGTCATGGTCCACAGCTTGACAGAAAAGCCTCCCATCTGAATTCTTTTACCTTCGCCAGGGCAGAACATCCCAGGGTCGCAGGGGGTGCACTGCGTGTGGTTGTGCAGTCCCGTCTTATTGCTGTAGGTCCCCTCCGGGCACAGGTACTCTGTCTCATGCTTGGTGCCCTCAGGGCAGTAGGAGCCCGCCGGGCAGATCTCCGGGTCCGAGACGCCGCGGTAGCTGCGATAACGGCCCGAGAAGTTGCCGCTGTCCGTGGTGTTTTCGGCATCCAGGACCTCGTAGTCACCTGAGGGGAGAGGAGAGGGAGAGGAACCTTAACTGCCCAAAAGAAAGCATCACTTTCCATCATTTCAGGTTGAGGGAAATATTTTAAAGTAATGAGGGTTTGGCGGCACATCCTAGGCAGACATCGAGAATGCAACAAGAGTCTTATCTTCTCCTTTGACTTCTTGCTAAAACTCGCTATTATAGACTAATCCGATTAGATGCCATAACTGCGGTGGTACCGCATTCACACGCACATTCCTCAGCTTGACACGTGTGTGTATTTGGCAAATTATGACACCCCATTGGTTGAAGAGGCGTTCATACCAACTCTCTACAAGCACGTACCACCTGTCTATGAGTGCATACCACCTGTCTATGAGCGCATACCACCTGTCTATGAGCGCATACCACCTGTCTATGAGCGCATACCACCTGTCTATGAGTGCATACCACCTGTCTACGAGTGCATACCACCTGTCTATGAGCGCATACCACCTGTCTATGAGCGCATACCACCTGTCTATGAGCGCATACCACCTGTCTACGAGCGCATACCACCTGTCTATGAGCGCATACCACCTGTCTATGAGCGCATACCACCTGTCTACCAGCACCTACCACCTGTCTATGAGTGCATAAAACCAACAGGTAATCCCCAATACTGTGATTCATAAAGTTCCAGGATTTGAACTGATATTTTTCTGAAATCATCACGTTTTGAGATGCTTCACAGCTGTGACGAAGATGATGCTTGACAAAAGAATGACTTTCACAAGTAGTTTGACCAAAACAGCAAGGGACTGTCTTTATTTATATAGTTTACACATGAAGCAGACTTTTAAAGCACCTGTGAAGATGAGTGAGGCATTTGTGAACTTCCAAAGTATAATACAGGTAATCAACTACAAAGACCGCCTTACCATAAGCTCTACAGAAGGCACCCCTGGGGCACAGGTTGCAGTCATAGCGTGCCCAGTGCTGCTGGTACCAACCGCTGGGGCAGCCAGTCTCATTGTGGCTGCCGGCCAGGCAGAAGTGACCGGGGCTGCAGGCCAGTCCGTCCGGCCTAGCCGTCTGCTGGCCACCAGGGCAGAAGTACCCGCGGGCGCACGCCCCGCTGGGCGTGTCCAGCCCCCACTCTTCGCAGTACATGCCCGCAGTGCAGGGCAGGCAGTCGGTGATGTTGGTGTTCTCCTCCCGGTCTGCCAACGAAGAAGGAGGGTGTTGAATATAATAACGCTGCCATCATATTTTGTCCCACATTTGCACTTCCATCAGGCTGTGGCCAATGTGCATGTTGTTAATTTCGCATTTTGTGAACACCTCACTGATCAGTGGCTTAAAAGACGGCAAAATTAAATGTCAAAAGTACTCAAGCATAACACACTGTTGTCTGGAGATACGGTTAGAATATAAAATTATCTTGCTTTACTTAATACCTGAATGACGATTTTCCGATATCTCAGGATTTCAACTTACTCCAATTTCTACATGACGGTACATACCGCATGGAATGGCGGCGATCAATTAAATCTTCCCCAGTGCCATGTAGTGAAATTGACAAACCGGAAACAAAACAAATAATGAATGGGCTGAAACGATTGTCAACCTACCAGAGTAAGTGCCAGGCTCACAGGGTTCCTCTACCTCTGTTCCTTCAGGGCAGTAGTGGCCCCTGCTACAGGCCACGGGGTCCCGGACCGACGCGCTGCCGTTGCAGAAGAAGCCCGCCCTACAGTTCCCATCGTAGATCTCATTGGCGTAGCCCTCGCAGTACTTGCCCTTGGGGCAAGGGATCGGGTACTGGGACCCTTCCGGGCAGTACGTTCCTGTCAAAAAAGAGCAAGGAGAATGAGAAGTTAGACCTCAAGGGGACCGAGGACTCAAAATTACGCAGGGTTTCCAGGGGTATCTGAAAACTAATTTCCAAGACTTTCCAGGATTAAAATATGACTATTTGCATGATGTGTAAGACCATTTGCTGAGAAAAAATATTTGATACTAACTGGAAGACCACCATAGCCACTATCAATACCTGGCGAAGATATCACCAATAAATCTGTCATTCTGAGATCACATTGAAAGCAACCCATCAAAAAAGAACCCTTGCATCTACTTCATTTCCATGACGATTCCATGACTTTTTTCCTCTGACAAGAGGCTTCCAGGACACCCAATTTTTCCCACTTTTCCATGACTTTCCAGGACAACTTTTCTTCCAGGGTTTTCAAGATTTTCCATGGCCATGGGCACCCTGATTACACAGCTTCTAAGCAAAAAAAAGTATTGCTCACAAATTTATGCACCAGAGAAAAAAACAGCTGACTACGAGTTAGACAAAATGTGCTGAAACATTTAGGCTGGACACCAGCTTCTGTGCTTGGTCAATTTTGTTTTCAAATAATTCTGCAACCCCTTTGCACAAATATTGGTCAAAATCACGTCCACACACTGCCAGTTGTCAGAATCCACTTCATTTCAACATTCAAGCCCCGATTTACATGCTTTGAGGCATCACACAGGCAATTCTGTTCACACCAACTACTCACCGGGCGGGCAGATATCCCCGGTGAAATTCAACGTGTAGATGGGGCACTCGCTGACCGAGAAGTCACCGGTGGAGTTGTCGTAGGGGGTGGGTCGCTTAGAGTAGGCCCCGCTGCTACAGTACCAGCCAGGGTCGCAGCGTGCTGTGGGGACTTCGTTAGCATCGCCCTCGCAGTACCACCCACCTGCAATAGAGAAATGATACAATTTCATATCCTATAAAAGTTTTCAATATAAAAATCCTCCATTTGTTAATGTAACATTGACGGTTGTAGAATTTTTTTGGTCAAAATTTGATTTTATTGTTTTCGCTTCTGTCTTTCTGTTTCCATGAATTTACTCTGTAACTGCCTTGAAAAAAATTACTTTAAATAAATCAGTCACTCATTATGTCTTGAAATCAGTTCGAAACAGAGACTCTGAAAACACATCATTGCTCATGACTTAAAGTTTCAGCTCAAAAAGTGTATTTATGATGAGAGTAAACAACTTCCAGACTGATTGTTTGCCACGCAATTAATTTTTCCTGTGTAGAATTCACTTATTTTGGATATCCATTAAACGTAGATGCTATAAATAATTGTTTTCAATAAGAGCACTTCAGCAAAGTTTTACCACAATGACCGCAAGGAATCAGGCAAAATAATGTAATTTCTGGTTTAAAAACTGGTCTGTTATTCCCAGGGATCAAACTGTAAAGCACAGGCTTTTCTTACCTAGGCAGGGCAAGCAGTCAAACGCATTGTTAGCCATGGTACGGTTGTTGTACGTCCCGACAGGGCAGGCAAACTCTGTGGCGTACCTGGTGCCCTCTGGACAATAGTAACCTGGAGGTGAAAGGTCAAAGGTCAGCAGTGAAGAGTTAGACACACTGATGGGGGCATTGACAAGCAACGAATACAATATGAACATGAAGTAGGGCGCATGAGAGCTATTTGCAAATTCCAAGCTTTCTCGAGTAATGAGGGAGTGAAGCACCTGTTTCAAAATAACTATAAAATTAGACTCTATCCATGAAAAAAGCAAACAGGAGTATTTATAAAGACCAGTAGACAGGACAGTTTAGTTCAAGGAGAGCTCAATACCTTTCCAGCAGGGTGTGTCAAGATAAGTAGTGGAGTTGGCCGGGCAGTAGTACCGTGCCTCACAGGGCTGGCATTCCGCTTGAGTTGTCAGGTCATTGTACGTGCCCGCCTCGCAGCCCAGGGGGGCCGCATTGCCTCCTGGGCAGTAGGTACCCTCAGGGCAGGGCCCGCCCACGCCCGTATTGTTGCTGTCAGGGTAGGCCGTGTCCACGCCTGTCTCGCAATAGTAGCCCGGGGCGCAGTTGCCGCGGACGGCGTCGGCACCCGTGCGGTCGCAGTACTTGCCGCCGTCACACGGTGTGCACTCCGCGGCAGTGGCCAGCATCCTGACGGGGCCGTAGGTGCCACGGGGGCACATCTCATAGTCAAAGCCCCGCCCTGTGGGGCAATAGCTGCCCAGCGGGCAAGGGTCAGCTCGGTCCTTGTTGACGCAGTAGTAGCGAGCAGGGCAGATGTCGCAGGCCTCAGCTTGGGTGTGGTTCATGTAGGTACCTGAGAATTTAATATCAAAACATGAAGTAATTCGGCATCCAGATTTATAAGCTATAACAGACGAGGTGCAACACTTGTGGACAGGTGGTGCATGTGTCAAATTAGTCTTCAACCCACATTGAAAAGGATGTTGCAAACTACCAAATGCTTGTTATCCATATTTCAAGTTTAAGAACACGAGCCTTCCTGGATTAGTCAATGCTGCCACTGTTTCATAAAACTTGAAACCTGAAACAAGTTGACATTACAAACCTATAGCTGGCATTTTAATTACAAATTGTCTAAAATGAGATTCACTGAAGCAACTAGTAAGTGAGGAGATGGTTATCATGTACCATGCAAACTCAAATACATGCTAACAGAGATGAGATCAGCAAACTTAAGTATAAGCCAAAGATATGCTTAATACTCTCGCCTTGTAAGCAAGGGGAAACTAGGAGAACAATTTGGAAAATATTGATTTGGTTCTTCTTTTTTTAATACTACTCAAAACTTTGACTGGTTGGAAAGAAAGATATTACAAACTTCTTCAAGGGAATGACAGATGTTCTTGTGACATTGTTAGCTTACATTTAAGTGCTTGTGGTTGCAGAGGTGGGACCCCAACATTCAGCCTGGATCTAAACACACAGATTGCTCCCAAAAGTACTGGCTATGGCTTATAGTAACATGTGTCTCAATGGAAGCCTGTGGCTAATGGCTGAAGCAGCTTCACATTAACATTTGTTACAACTAGCCGCAGCCACGACTTTCCAAGGCAGCCCAGCTCTCAAACTTTCCTAGGACGTAGGAATGAACCAACGAAATGCTGCAATTTTCAGACCGTCTGCAACTCACCGTCGTCGCAGGGTTGGGGAACGGAGCTTCCCCGCTCACAGTAGTAGCCTGCCGGGCACTCGTCGCCAGTTACGCCGTCTGTAGGTGTAGCACTCGAGGCTCCGCTGACGCAGTAAAAGCCCGGATCACATTCATCTGAAAATGCACACGGATGATAACATTCTGATCAGACCAACGAACATACATTCAAACCCGAAGAAAATGGCCTCTCAAACATAATAGCAAAAAAATTGTTGAAGCAGGTAACAGGTTGGCACCATGCAAAGAAACCGCGATCACATCCACGGGTCTCATAGCAATTAAAAGCATCTTTGGAGTTAAATTTTTCGAAAGCACTAAAAAAGCTTCCTGGGGAAAATACCAAATTGAGCACTTTGCAATGAGCCAGTTTCACATAAAAGGGCTCGCTATTCAAGAACAAATACCTCAAGTCACATAAGTTGGAACATGTACAGTGCATGTGAGTTGGTGTACTAGTCACGCTAAGAGGGCCTACCTCTGGCATGCATATTGATGTTCACGTGCCACTTACAATGAAATTCATTTCAAGCATGCGCTTTCTGAATAAGCAACTCGCTCATTTCTTCACAAGCAATCATAACTGCGTCACAAGCCCCAGTACCTCAACAAAACTATTGACTGCGATGGAGTCTAAGATACCTACTGATAACCTGGTAAAAAGACTCTACATACATGTAGGTATTCATGAGTACATCTTACTTGTAAATGCCTCCGTGTCAATTCATGCCACAAAATATTCCAAATAGCACACACAACTGCCACACACTCATCTCTTTGTTACCGATCCACTCTTGGCAGCAAAAGTGCTTGTGAAAGTACTTCAGGAGACAAGAGATAAAGCAATCATGAGGTACTTGTGTGGAACTCTGCAGTGACACTAGACTTGAATCAAGTCAGGCTTACGTTGCTCTTTCCTAGTCAGCCATTCCCTCAGCCTGTACGCACTACACAGTCGTTGCGCTTGGCCCAGCAGCTCACATAACCCTTATAAGGCACCCTCATTTGATAGCCTTTAATGTACAATGTGTGTCATACCTCACCAGTCAGTAAGTCAGACTTGATGGATAAACCAATCAGACCACTCCCTGTCAGTGATGCGTAGTTGTTCATAATTACATATGAACGGCACAATCTTGCATAATGTTTACAGAATTTCCACCAATCAAAGTAGTCAGACTTGTAGTTTTGTTCATTATGATGCAGGTACGAATGACGTAAAAACAAGTTCGGCAATGCGATTGGCTGCTACCACTGTTGGTAGATGAGCCATTCGCTGTGTACCAACGGTTGGCGGATTCGTCAAGTCAGGATTTCTGAACTGAACTCACAGTAATAAGGTGACACAAGAGGGCACCAAGCAAGTATAGGCGCATGGCCTCAGTATGTATCCAAAGCATAAACGAAGACGTCACAGACATCCTGACTTAAGTCAGATCTACAGCAACACCCCTACCCTACCTGTGTAATTGGTCTGCCCCAGCTTATCACAGTACGTCCCCTCGGTGCAGTTGAGGCAGTCAGACCGGGCCGGCCGCTGGCTGAGCGGGTTGAAGGTCCCCACGGGGCAAGGCACCGGGTCCTCCGTCCCATCGGGACAGTAGTAGCCGGCCGGGCAGACGTCGCCATAGGCTTGGCCCGCGGGGTTGGGATCCACCGCCCCCAGGGTGCAGTAGTGGCCGGCGGTGCAGTTGCCGGTGGGTTCAGTCAGACCTGAGGGAGGGGAAGGGAGAGGAACCTACTGGTTACAAGTTTTCTTGCAATCTCTTGATATAAAATGTAGACTTGAACCACAGAGCTATATATTCAATTGCTACAGCTCTATCTATTTTTATTTTGATTGTTAAATCCATTGTAATTCAGTTTTTTGAACAGCGAAAAATGGATTTTAATAAACCAATATGAAATGAAATGAAATGAAATCTCCTCATTTGCCACACGGAGAAAGCCTTAATGCCATCTTGTGTGCAGACGCTTTGATTCATGCCCACGTTTGTACAATACATTGAAACAATAGGGTTGGCATTCCCAATAACATGCAACACGCACATAAATTTTGTCAATAACAATTCAATGCATTTTCTACATTGGATATATTGAGCAAAATAAACAGCAATTATTTCGCACAATGACTTTGTTATTCTTTATTGTTCTATCTATTATTCTATAGAATATAGATGCAAAGAGACGAATAGCCGTACAGAAGTTTGAGTTCCAGGTCTGTGCATAAACATGGCTGCACCCAGCAAGCTTCATTTTGTGTAGGGAGTTAGTGCTCTAGTAATATAAAACAGCTCTAAGATTTAAACACAGGAGACGGACTGAAGCCAGAATCAAACCGACAACTGCTGGTATACTAAACTGGTTTTCTGACAAACACCTTCAGGCATGGTTCTCTCCTGTTGCAACCCTTCAGTTGTGGGGGATCAGTGACTGCAAAATATTATGGTGCCAAGAATAACATCTCCCAAAAGCCAACCGAGACAATGACGTTGCAGTTAAAGTACATTTCATTATACATGTGGTGGAGGAAAAGCTAAAATGAAATTGATGAATATGAAAGGCTTTCATCAGGGCACCGATGACCAGTTTTCACTTAAGGACTAAGTTACATTTCTCGTTTTACACCGGAATCAAAACCAACAAAACCACTATAATCACAAAAAAAAAGTCTTGAAATTTCTTTTTTTCAAGAGTGGTAAAGTTAGTGAACAAATCAAACCTGGAATCCGTGGTCAGGCATGGCCCCTGCATGCATGAGGGTGCACTCAATGGTGTTTGAATGGAACGTATCCAGGTAAAGTGGCTCAGTTTTGGGGTGAGAGACTGCGAACCTACCTGCTGTTTGGCAGTACTGGCCCGGCGTGCAGGGCTCACATTCTGTCATATTTTCCAGCCCGTAGCGGTCACTGAAGGTCCCCTCAGGACACTTGATCCCCTGGTCGCTACCCTTGGGGCAATAGTAGCCGGGCTGGCACTCGTAGCCCGTCGTCCCGTCCGTCGGCCGGGAGGTGTTCGAGGCAGACACGCAGACATAGCCGGCGTCACATACGTCGGCGAATACGGTGAGACCTGAGGGTGGTGAGACGTGGGGAGAGCAAAGTACACAGTAAGAGTAAGTCTGCAGTCCCACCAGAGTGAAAAATCTCTTCTGAATTGTTGAGGTTACCACAAGGACCGGGACATTTCCTGTTTCACACAGTATAGTCTTTACATCAGCAGCAAGTTGCTTGGTTGAAGGCAACAAAGATATTAAAAAGACATAGAACTGAAAGACAATTACTTACCCAGGAATCTCAAAGTTGCTATGAAATTGAAACTTTCTTCAAGTTACAAAATTATCACCAAAATACCCCAGATGAGATGCTCGTTCACTCTCACACACACCCTCTTAAACCGGGAAGAAAATTACAAGGGTAAAGAAATAACAGCACTGGAATACCCACAAACCCATTCAATGGTGAAGAAGTCTTCTGACCGGTTCTCTGCTGTCTTAGCATATCAATGTGTCCAAATCTCACAAAATGTTTCTTAAGGTCGCTATTTTGGTTATTTTGTTTTAACTGGGAATAGACGGAGCAAACTGAGCTGGTTGTGTTCGTTTATTACTCAGTTGAGAGGTGCTACTGAGTCACATTGACCAAGTTTCTCTTGATGGGCCTTTAATACACTCCAGTAGCATGCGACTCCTTTTGTTCAGTTCACAAAATGGCACTCATCTACCCTTTTATCTGCTCAGCGAGTCAGCCGACTAAAGGCGGCGTACCTTCCCCGTCGCAGTACGTCCCGCCGGGGCAGGGCTGGCACTGGCCCGCATCCTGCAGCCGGGTCACGTTGCTGTAGTAGCCCTTGGGACACAGGTGCTGTCTGGCGCCCTCTGTGCCCTGGGGACAATACGAGCCCGGCGGGCACTCGGTCGGCACAACGACCCCCGAGCTGACCACTCCCAGTGACAGAGCAGCTTCGGTGGCGTCGCAGTAGCTGTAGTCGACAGAAACAAACTGGGTGGTTTAATTTGGCTCCACTCACCCACGACACTCGTTTAGTGTCATGGCTACTCAACAGTCAAAATTCTGGCCAAAACAAGCCAACACTGATCAGTATCAGCACATGGATGATCCAAAAACCATTTCAAAGTGAGTAGAAACAGTTAGCTACCTCAGTCTATCAATCACAATCTCTTACCCAATGGCCTATTGATATACAAAAAGCTTAAACAATGCTGGAAATAAGCAACCTCTACTGTCCCACATGTTAGAGACCTTCACAGAATGACGTCATTATTGGTTTACATGCTTTCCTATGGAGATCAGCAGATCTTGTCCTGTCTTACCGCCACAGGAAAGTCCACATGTAAACAAAGCATGCCATCGATATGTTGTACATGTACATCTGTTTCATATGTTGCATAATGTAAGGTTTCCTAAGCCTGTTAGGTCTATTGGTTTGCCAGCCCAAACCAGCCTGAACTAGTTGAAACCGAATCAGCAAAGTCTTATGCAACAGCTTTTGTTTGTGTAGCTTGAACTGGTAAGAACCACCTGGGTCCAGTTCCCAATTAAGTGTATGGGGCAAATCGGCATGAACCAACTACAACCGGCTGGAACTGGTCCCCACTTACTATTCAGCAGGGCAGGGCTTGCACTCTGAGGACCCCTCCTCGTCCTGGTATGTCCCTGAGATGCAGGGCTCAGGAGCGGGGTCCCCACCGGCGCAGTAGTGTCCAACGGTGCAGTTGAACTCGATTGGGGTGGGCGTGTCCTGCCCACCGGGGCAGTAGTAGCCGGGGTCGCAGTCAGCCGTGGGGGCGACGTTGCCCGTCCCTGCGCAGTACGTGCCAGGGGTGCAGGGCAGGCAGTAGGTGACATTGATGTTACCTGTGAAAGTCAACAACAAAAAAGAAACACAAAATGACAATGGCAGGAATCGAACCTCTCACCAGGCTCACATCCTCAACACTGCACCAGCTCTTGATCAGCAGAGCAGCCTAACCCTAATTTAGCAAACTCCAATTCAATCACTGTCTTTGCTCTTAGGGTAACAAGACAAGGCCCTCATTTTTCAGGGGTCCAGGGTTCGAACCCCGTTTCAGTCAATTTTCCCAATTCAACTGGGAATCGGTTCAAAACAGATCAAGTCACTATCCCCTCATGATTTATTTCATGATACGTCAATTTAGTATCTAGTACTAACATTAAGTGCTGGCTTTCCAGGTTCTCACAGAATATCTAGCACTCTGGATGCAACATTACATCATCAGGCTTTGCCACCAGCTTAGAAATAATATCTAAAAAAAGACATCAGTAGACTGAATCCACCCACCTGTGGTGTTGGAGAATGTGCCGGCCGGGCAAGGTGTTTCCGTGACGGAGCCCTCCTCACAGTAGGCTCCCGTGGGGCAAAGACGATGAAGGGGATCTGGCCTATCAATGCCACCGTCACAGTAGTACCCTGACAGTTAAGATAAGGTGACACAAGTCAATACTTGGCATCATTGAACAGAACGGTTTGGGGTGAGTGTGTTGATCTTATCCAGAGTGCAATAAAGTTTTGAGGGATATTTCGTCCTCTGATTGGGGTAGATTTTTTCTGATCATGAGGTCACCTGCTCGCTTTCACAGCGTGTGGTTCACCCACTGGGTACTAATGCTAACACAGGCAGGACCTTTGGCTAAGCAGACACAAAGCAGGCACAAGAACAAGTGAGCACCAACTACATGACATGATTACAGTGCAGCGATAGAGGCCTGCTTGTGCCCTTGAAGAAACATACTTTGCTATGGCAACTGCCCATTAATCTGCAACACCTGTTACAGAACACCTGTCCTTGGCAGAAAGCCAATACTGACAACTAAACACTCGAACACAGCTTCCTAACTACTAGAGATGTTTTATAAAATTCAGTTGAACGAGAAAAGCTCCAGATAACACCCACCGTGTAAAACTTGGCATAAGATTGCCAGAAAAATTGTTCTAAGGCATGAGAAAACTAAAAGTTCTTCACCGATTTGAGACAAAGAACGAATTACTGTTATGAAAAGGGGGCTGCTACCGAATTTTGCTACTACGGCGAACAACTTTAGCATTGCCAAGGAAGAACAAGTACATCTGAATGATCGTCATTAAAAGCAGGTCAGTTATTTGGTTATGCTGTGAGACTTGGACATCTCAGCACTACTCAGCAGGATCCACTCACCTGCGTCGCAGTTGCCGTTTGGCTGTTCCCGGCCCCACTCCCTACAGTATTGGCCTTCAGTGCAGGATACCGGGTAGCCGCTCCCCTCTGGGCAGTAGCTTCCGGGCCAGCATTCCCCACCTATGGAGGACGGAGAAAGTAGCTCTCAGATTTGTGTCTAATTTCAGATTTGGCAGGGGGGGTGCGTGGGGCATTTTGAACAGATTGACCACTGTTCTCTGAACGGCGTTTTGTTTTTTTTGGGAGGGTGTGAGGTTTTTTTTGGTTGGGGAAGCATTTATGTTTGCATTATTTGTCCTATATCTCAAAGGTTGTTCTCTAAAATCTGTGTGTTACTTCATTAGCCCAACTAAAAACCATAAAGCAATGAAAGAGTGAAATGCTCTTTATAAGTATAGCAAAAATTGTTGGCTAAAACCAACATCTAGTATTTTAAACTGTGTATTGAGAGAGAGGTCATTTCGATGTGATATACAGAAGCAACCCCTAGCCCTTACCGGTGTAGTTTGCTAAGGGGCAGGTACACTCGGAGTAGTCAGTAGCGTTAGCCGTTGGCAGCGGCCTAGCCATGTAGGAACCGCCGGTGCAGTACCAGCCGGCATCGCAGTAACCGCTGGTGTGGTCCAAGCCATCAACTGGGAAAGCAACCAATGAGTCACAAATTGGCTTAGTCTAAATTACGTGACTGTGGCTTGGCATGACACACAGCTTTATGGCAAGCGGCCGCAGCTAGAACCATAGACCCGTGTGCACTTTTGAGCCACAGCCAAGTGATTTGGACATGGCTATAGATATTATTCAGGAGTCAGTGAAAACTGACGCCAAGGCAGATCTTGACTTTGGGGTGCTGAAAGAGTAGAAATGACAGCGATGAAATTTCACACAAAACACGAACCCTGTCTGCTCTGAAGAGTAATTTTGAATTTGTGGCTTACCTTGGTGTTTAAAGCCAAGGGCCAATTTTATAGAGCTGCTTAAGCACAAATTTGCTTAAGCATGAAAAATACCTTGCTTGACAAATCAGGTTATCAGCCAAACCTTCCTGTGATGTATATTGTTTTTGAATGGTCTTCACCTGTCTTTTGGTTAGCATGACAATCACATAGATTTTGAGCTGGTAACCTTTGTTTTGTAAGCAAGGTTTTTTTTGCGCTTAAGCAAATTTTGCACTTAAGCAGCTTTATGAAATTGGCCCGATCATGAAAATCTTCAAAGGGAGGCTTGGAATGAACTCTTTGACTGCTACCAATTCATGCGATCAGGAAACCTCACGATTCCTAAAGTCCTTTGTTCCCAGCTCGATTCGCACTTATAACTCATTTTTGTAAAGGCTTTCTTACAACACATTCCCCTGGTTCATCTAGTTCCCCTACTCTTGGCTTTAATCTGAAGAATACTAATCATTATGTTAATTCCTTTAAGTAATGATATTAATTTTTTTTTCAAATACCTGTGTAGTTTTGTAATAATATGTAAAAGCAAACAGAGCAAATTTCACTTTGTGCTTTGCATATTTGGACAATAAATACGAACTGAACTGAACACCAATCACAGAATAGTCTGGTACCATCCTAGTCAACACTTGCAGTGTTATTAAAAGATTCAGGGTACAAAATCAAACATGGCTTCCTCCCAAACAAGGTTCATTAGAAAGAGTAAATGGCTTGGTACATTAATCCTCCTTTCCAGCGGCAGAGGTTACCAATGACTCGTGTACGGCATAACTCACATTCACAGTATTCGCCTTGAGGGCAGGAGAGACAGTCCTCTGGTCCATCGCTGCCATTGACCGGGTTGTAACTGCCCTTGGGGCAGGGGAATTCGTAGCTGTACCGCGTGCCTGCCGGGCAATAGTAACCTACAAAACAGAGAAAATAAGTTTTTGTATGTGTAGTTGATTGCAAATCTCTTTGGGCATTGTTTACAGTGCAATTTGGTTTGTTGAAAAACTCTGGTCACTTTCCTCTGCTGAAAACAAGATGACCTCCAGGAGGCAGCAGATTTGAAGAGTGTTTGCCGTGCTTTTTTCTCAGATATTCCGAGATCATGAGAGATGTAGCACTGTACATCTACATTGAACTGACAAACGGTGATCCCTTGTTTGAATGTCAATACTTGATTTCACAGGTTTTTGCTGTTTAACCATCATGACAAAATATTGTCTTTGATTCAAAAGACAATTTCTAAAAAGTTGCATTGATGTCTCTCACATTAGCATTCTGACGAAAAAGTGACATTACACTGAGCAACAAGCTCTTGAACTCAAAAGGGACTTTTGGGAATAGTGTCTCATTTCGTTACGCTTTGCCATCACGTGTTACCTTGTTAAGGTCAAAAAAAAAACTGTACATGCCGTGGTCCAATTTGCTCACCTGAAGGGCAGATGCTGTCTTCGTAGGTGGTGGCATTCTCCGTGCAGTAGTAACCCTTCTTGCATTCCGTGCATTCGGACTGCTGCTCCACGTTGGTGTAGTAGCCTGCCGGGCAGCCCAACGGCACGGCGGTCCCCGGAGGGCAGTAGGAGCCGATGGGGCAAATACCACCCTCGCCTGTGTGGCTGCCGGACGGCTGGTCGGTGTTGACGCCTGGGAGTGGTCAGGAAGAAATGTCTATTAAAATTTGGGACAATCAGCTTGGAGCGGCGGTTCTTCGGTCATCGTTCAGTTCTGCAGCCTCCATCTGCTTCTCAGCTCTGCAACCACTGCATGCAGGTATTCCACTTGTTGAAGCTAAACTGGTACTGTATTTCATTAAGAATTGGGGATCTGTTTCTTAGTTATGTGAAAAGATTAGCCAAACACATTGTAATGAGTGAAAGAGACATCGGTATCAGTGTTGTATTCGAGATCACTTAAGACCTCCAAGACCAACACAAGACCTCCAGTCTGAATTCAAGTCCCAAGCTATTCAAATGAACTGCAACAAAACCATTCCTTTGTCATTGTTCACCCTGTTACTTGTGCCTGGTCTCGTTCGTGGTCTTGTGATGGTCTTGACTACAGCACTGATCGGTAAACACCAGTCGTGCCAGGGCTCATGTTCATATGAGCCTACTTTAACAAGTTGACGAACATACATGTAGTCTGGGTTTGCGTTAGTCATGATAAAGCAGTTCCACAGAACTGCATATTGTTGGGGACCATTCAGTGACGCTGTCTGCACTCTCTTTACGTTGATTTGGAAACCAAATTTCAGAGATTTGGAATGGGATTTTCAGGGGAGAATTCGGTTGAAGAGGAAACTCACCGATGCTACAATAGTAGCCGGCCGCACAGTCGCCAGTGACGTTGTCCATCCCCGGGTACTGGCAGTACTTGCCCGGGTCGCACTGCGTGCACTGGTCCTCCTGGTAGAGCCCGTAGTCCGGGTTGTAGGTGCCGGCTGGGCAGAGGCGCAGATCCGCCCCCGTTTTGGGTGGGCAGTAGTAGCCCGGGGGGCAAGGGTCGGCACTGATGCGACGGACGCAGTAGTGACCTGGCCAAGAAAGCGAAGAAATAATTCTAGCGTCTGTCAATAGGTAATTCTAGAAATTAGGAGTCCAAAAGTGTGACATTTTTGTTTCCTTTGTTATTTGACAGGGAAATATCACCAGAATTGATTTCAAACTAGTACTATTTGTTTGGCAGGTAATTTGTATTAATTCATCACTCTTGGAAATGAGAAAATGTGTTTTGAACTTAAAAATCATACATCAGATGTGACAGGGTCACGAAAAATGGACCCCTAATTTCTGGAATTACCCCTAAACCCTTTGTTTGTTTGTTCTATGCACTTTCACACTGCTGTCAAGTCTATATTTGATATTAATGTTTCAGACATGATTTATGTCTTATGCTAATTTGAATTTTCATGCTTTGAACAGAGGTTGGCATTTCAGCTGCGATATTACAGATTTTGGACGACCTTTCATTACAAAGGTAAAACTAATGACCAGTGAGGTACTTCTGTATTTTAAAACAGTAAGGTCATCGAAGAACACATCATGCATGAGTGTGTTATGACCACACTAACAGGACAAACCTCGTACGTGAGCACCACTGTTCCACACGACCTCGGACATGCTCCACATTGGGCATGCACCATTAGAACACTGAACTGGCCCATAAATGGATCACAACGGAAACCGAAAGGGATGCACCTACCTTGCGGGCAATCCTCGCAAGCATCGGCCATGGAGAAATTGACGTAGGTTCCATTGGGACAGAACTGGTGGTAAGAGGAACCCACAACGCAGTAGGATCCTGGCGGACAGATGTCTCCAGTAATGCCGTCAGTAGGGGCGGATGAAGATGCCCCGCCCACACAGAAGTAACCCGGGTCGCATTCACCTAATGTATTTTAAGGATGCGAGAAACGATTAATGGAAGATTATCTGAATGATCGTAGAGTTTTCATTGTCTTTGTGAAAAAGCTCAAACTAAAAAACAAAATATGAAAGGATTCGATCTTCAGCAGACTGGATGAGACTACGAGACTGCAGCTGTTACGAGCTGCCATGCAAACTAACTGACAGTGCTCAAGTCCAGTTAATCATAAGTCCAACAGAAGCATTCACTCTAGCACCAAGTCACTAGCTATCCAAATGAAACTGCTTAAAGGTGACAGAGATGTCTCGTTCCCCTTGTTTTTCTCAAGTGTTACCAGCTAAGCAAGATACCGGTAATTGGCTAGCTAATAATTTTTCACTCAGCAGTTTTAAATTCAGTCCAGCAGCGGGTTCTACTTATTTCTTGATCCTGATCCTTCTCCCCCTCATCCGTCCTGTTCTCCATCCTACCTGCCACGTTCTCAGCTCCTGTCTCGTTGCAGAACATCCCCGGCTCGCATTGGAGGCAGGCGCTGTCGTTGGTCCTCTGCAGGGCTGGCTGGTAGGTGCCGGCCGGGCAGGGGTAAGGGACGGAGGTGTTGGAGGGGCAGTAGTGGCCCACGGGGCAGATGTCACCATAAGCCTCGCCCACAGGGTTGGGCTTCTCGGCCGCACCCGTGCAGAAGTGTCCTGTGCAAAAGGGCGGGGGGATTAAAAATTTGTGTTTTGGTGCGCATTCCGGGAGTTGAACCTGAGACCAATGAATTACAGTTCAAAAGACCCCATCAACGTCTGAAATCAAGATCTACAGAAGGTGTTCACAGACCAAACCAATGTAACTCAGGCCATGTCCGAAACGGGCTTCCAGAGCTACGGCTAGGTCTATTATCTACGCGTCTCCACACATTTCCAATGGAGCGAAGACCTAGACCTAGCTCTAGACAACAGATTCCGATGCAGCCTCAAACTGAGGCTAGAAGGGAAAACAGTCTGTTCCCAACAGTCAAGTTGTATTACTTTTGCCAATTAGTCTACAGGGAACAAGACAAACATGGAAGCATCAAGATAAAGGTCTGTTTAATCCGTTCATTAGAAACACACTAAGGCCATGTTCCAAATCAATTGGCTGCGACTTGGGCTAGCACACACTTCTATGGGAAGCAGTTGTAGCCACTATCTACTGGCTTCCATGGACAAACCTGCTATTTCCAACCACAGCCACGAAAATGGACAAGGGGACTTACAGGATGGGGTTGCCTGACACCCAAAACTGTTCATCCCTTCAAATTCTGGCTTTGCCAGGCTTTTCTAACCCGGTATTCACTTTTGAAGTTAAGAAAGTTTTGTCATTTTTGCATATTCCTTTGGTGTGAGAGTACTTTTGGCATGGAACAACCCTTTCTTGTTGAAAAGAGGCATTCAATACGACCACACAGCCTGTGCGAGTGTGTTAGCTAGTGATGGCTTCTAGTGCAAAGCAAGAAGTGTGTTTGCATGCTAGGACGACTTCCCACTTGAGAGACTCAAAAGAGTGTGCGCACAAGGTCATGAACCCGGAGGGGAGCACAATTTTTGGTAGGAAAGTTGAGGCCAAGTTGTGGGACAACACTTTTGGTCCCCACAATATCTATATTTCTACATGCGTGCTATCCCAGTGGCTACAAATAAACATGAATGCACTGGGGTTGAGCCAAGAAGAGAATCCACGACCAATTTCTGTTGGAGTATATAGCCTTATTATGTGCATCGGTCGTCAAGTTGAAACCGGAAGTGTGTGTAAAGAGAGAAACGCCAACTTCAGACTTTGGAACCAAAATGGCTGTTCATTATGTATAGTATGGAACTACCGTTTGCTAAATGTCCATGTGCACTGATGCACATAATCCACAATTTTGGTTCCAACAATTGAGACACTCATGTCGCAACTCTCTCTACAAACAGTTCTGGTTGAAATGGTTCGCATCAAAATCTCTCCTCTATGCTGTGGAAAGGACTTTACCTGGTGAACATCCACCCCCAGGTTCCGTCAGCCCCACCTCCGAGCAGTACTCGCCGGGCGGACAGTCCGTGCAGTCGCCGACCTGGGTCAGCTTGTCCATGGCCCCGTACGTCCCCTTGGGGCAGTACTCGTACCAGGAGTAGCCCGACTCGCAGTAGGTGCCCGCGGGGCAGGGCCCGCCTGTGGCATCCGCTGGGTCAGGGGTCGCAGTGACCGCTCCCTGGACGCAGTAGTAACCGGCTGCGCAGAGCTCTGTAGGGGCGATCTGGTTGGTGGCCTCGCAGTAGTAGCCTGTGGTGGTGGTGGGTTGTGGGAAGGAAGTGGAACAAGTGTGTGGAGAGTCAGTGGGTCAGCCCCCAAGTTGGAAAGATTTGAATTCTTTTTGAGGTGCCCTTGAGAGAAAACTCTTCAATGCCTCAACAGCTCTGTCCTTTCAACGAGCTTGGCAGACTTATTTCTTCTCAGAGATAATGTTCATGGAAAATATTAATTAACTTCATTGCACTATACGCTGAACTTTTTGCATAATTACTGGTCACAGTTGGCATTTCATAGTAAGCAAAATGCGGCAACATGTTTTCTTCATTATAGTTAAGCTGGAAATCACACTGTTCTGTGGATGAGAATGTAGGACGCATCCCATGGAGAATACACCCCAAAGGTCCAATGGAGACTATACCTCAGTAAAGGTGATATCGAGAAGACGTCCAATTAAAGGTGAAACTACCCCATTCAATGTGAAGTGAAGAATGTAGTGCATTAAAGGTGATATTGAGAATACACCCCGTTTAAGGTGAAATTAATACCTGCTGTACAGGGCCTGCATTGGGTCTCGTTCTCCAACCCTGTGACGTTACTGAACGTGCCCCTGGGGCAGGGGTACTGCTGATCTGTCTCTGTACCCTCGGGACAGTAGAAACCTGAGCGACGAAAATGATGGCAAACACATCCACTGAAGTTACAGTTTCACACGTCACCATTCCAATTTCGATTAAGACCAAGGTTCCAGCAAAAAGAGGGTGTAGTTTTCAAGATAAAAAGCTCTGAGCCACACGTAACAGCATTATAACAGCACCTACTCAGTTTCCCGACATGTATAAAATATGTTTCAAGATTTATGTTTAACCCCTTCGCAACGGATGATGGTAAAAGCCGCCGTAATAATTGAGATCCTAAGCCTGCTTTTCAGCTATTATTCTCAGCCCACGCTCGAGCAAACACGGCGAAAGAAGGCAGTCCCTGGCTCTTGTATATATGGTGATTGGCCCTTGTGTGTAGCCCAGAAATGAAAAGACTGAATTTGCATCATAATCATCAGCTTCACGATAGTCCCCACTTTGAAAAGAGGCAACGGGAATGTGGAAGCGTGAGTAGAGTCGCATACCACCGAACAATGATCCTTTTCACTGTGTAATTCAAAGCGTGCAGAGCACGCAGGGCCACAAACTGAGGATTTGCAGTTTGGCAGGTGGCCTTCGTGGCCAAGTGAGGCTGGAATTCTCGGTGTTGGCTTTCAGAAAAAAGTTCCCGTCGTCAAGGGGTTAAAAAAAGCCGTATCCTGTTTGAGTGATCCCTGTTCACCACTTCCCAGGTTGTATTGCATTTTGGGGCGTGATCCCTGGCTACACGGTGTTTCAAATTTAATGGCTTTTGGCTAGCGCCCCCGAACAAAGATATTGACAAATGGGAAGAGTCACCAGTGTAGGGTTGGATTGCTCAGTTGGTAGTGCACTGGTACGGTATTCTGGAGTTCGAGGGTTCAAATCCCACTCCAGTCAATTTCTTTGTTCATTTTTATAAGCGAATACTTTAATGGCAACTAAACTGGTGTCCATGAAAATTCTGCACCTACCTAAATAAGCATATCTCCTAGATTAGGAGGCCAAACAAATCTTACTTGTGCAGAGCCACACTTTGCATATTAGATTACCTGCTTACCTCCCAATAACCACAGAAGGCAATGGTTATTATCACGGGGGTTTGCTACATGCTTTCATCGGTTAACAATGCTAGAGACCCGTTTGTTTTGAGATCTGGAATGAGATCAGCGATCCAACTTAGTTCACTGACACCAGATTCCACCCACTGGATGAAACGAACCAGCATTGGGATCACTGATTGAGGTCTGGATCAGTATGGAACAACCAGGCCCCAAGATATGCAACAGGGGCACCAACGCAGCCCCTCCAAGAAGATCCATGTCAAGGTGCGTCTGATTCTTACGGCTAGAGCTTGGGGGGGGGGAAAGCTGAGAGCAGGTGTTGCGTCAGCTCGGCAGCGGTATGGGAGATGACCTCGAGCTTACCTGCTGGACAAACCTTGGGCGTGACTACACCATGCGAGGGTGCTCCCACTCCACTCTGCTCCTCTGCTATAGCTTCATCTTGGTCGCAGTACGAACCTACACACCGAACAAGAAAACGCCAAAAAAATAAACCACGTTTGAATTGACGTCTATAGGCATCACAGATTCAGTGTTTCTTATGGTCCACAATGCGGGCATCCCCCTTTCCCCAAGCTCTGGAGCACAGCTGCATTTTAATTCAATACTTTCTAGCTTTAAGCCAAGTTTCAGTTGGGGAAAACAACATGTAGTAGACATGCAGTACTCAAGAGTTGGGTTTCAGAAAACACAAATTAGGGGCATCGGTGAACTGTCTACGGGTCCAGACAAAGGTACCGTACTGAACATGTACAAGTGCCATTTGTGATGTCAGTGACAAAATTAAGATTCCAACTTTATAATAACATTCATAACGAAAGACTCACTGATGAGCTGAAGGCTTTAACCTTGCAGGCTAAAATGTGCACATTAACAGGTCTCTT